ACGAATTCGCGAGGTCATGGAGAGGAGAAAACAGTCGCATCGCGACGAATCTGCTCAGTGCGCAGGAGGTGCTGCGACAGGCAAACAGGGGCAGTACAACGGGGGGGGGGAGACCACGACCGCGCCAGGCCCAACTTTGGGTGCATATGCGCACACAACGGCCAGCGGCAGAGAGACGAAATGGTAGTGCAAGGACGGTAAGCCGGGTGAGCAGCAGGGAGCAGATCATGCACATCAGATGTACACGCCGGTCGTTGAAAGTAGGTGTTTTTGGATTCCCAGATCCCAATCTACTTCAAGCGGCCTTCCTACTGCAAGAATCGACACGCTTTTGCTGTGTTTTGTTATTCTCTGGGGGGGCTGGACCCAATCAACTTAATCCGCCTTCCTACTTCATGTTTTTTCCTACTTCTTCCGACCGACGTGCATCGACAACACATGCAGTACAGCTAGCAAGGAAAACGTATCAAATGGTGGGAAAGCAGACTCAGGAAGATGAGCTTGGACTATTACGCCCAGGCTGCCAAACCGAGGCATTTGGCATCCACACTCAAGTCGGTGAGAGATGGTCCTTGTCGCTTGCTTGTGCCCGGGGACAACCTGGGCATCCAGGGCCGCGCCTAGGGACAACCTGATAGACAGCTTGGACGAGCAGATCGAGACCGGGGAGACAATGTACGAGCCCATGAGTACGGCATGCATACTTTTGGACACGACGGGGAGGAGGTCGGCACGGAGACACGAACATCAACGGCAACGGGGACCGCGAGGGCTCCGAAGGGGAGAGGAGTGAGGGCAAGGGTAAGCAGTCTCAAAAGAGAGGCCCCTCTGATAGGAGTACGCGCTCCACGGCCACGCGAGGACCAAAGCTGGAGGGGGGGGGGACATTTGCCCACCAGGGCCACCCGAAGACCGACCAGCGGGGAGCCGAGGTCCCACTGGGAGGCCAGGGGGCCTCGCGGCGTGCAAGCGGATAGTTACGGGGTGCACCAGCTGGCCAGGAAGTGCACGTGGCCGACAGAGCAGTTGGCTTGGGACGGCGACGGGAGGCGCAAGATCCATGGGTAATTGTTGACGGTTCGCGAATCCCCACCAGCCCATCCAGAAACGATGCCCAGAGGAATTGCCTGGATCAGGGAAGTGGGCAGCACACAGAGGAAGCCACTATGAGACGTCTTGGGATATCTTGAGCCGTCTTGGAGGTCATCTTGGGCTCTCCAAGGCGCTCTTGGAGTCATCTTAATCAGTGCTCCCCCCCACGTTGGCTTGGGACGGCGACGCTAGACGCAAGATGGACGGGTAACTAAATTCTTTACGCTTCGCGTATCCCCACCAGCCCATCTCAAAACAGCAACTCTTGCGAAGCATGCCGACAGTCGTGTTTTTCAAGCGTGTTTCCGCCTCTCCCCCACGTTGGCTTGGGACGGCGACGCTAGACGCAAGATGGACGGGTAACTAAATTCAGCAGTGCCGGGACACGCAAAGATGCTGGGCCACAACGACGGCGACAACGAGTGCGGATGCGACGTTGCACCCACGATCGCATCAAAGGGGCCAAGCGCGACACGTAATAGTGTTTTTTGAAGGCCCCGTTGGGTGAGCTCACGTCCGAGGGCCCCATCCAATGGGCCTTCCAAGAGCCCCGAGGCCCAAGCCCGACTCATGACGGTGCGCAGTTGCCGAGGCTCGGGGCGCCGCAGGCACCGTCCACCGTGGAGGAAGGGGGCTGCGCGCTGCGCGCAGGTCGAGGCTTGCCGGGAGAAGCAGACTCAGACCTCCGGAAGCTGGCGCCCAGGAAGAGGTCTTGCTACCAGTCGAGGGCCAGGGACACGCAGCCTCTAAGGGGGCCAGGCAGGTGTACTCGGAGGACAAAGGCTGCACGGTCAGAGGCAGCACGTGCGCTTCATTTGGCGCCGGAAGCGGGGGATCGCAAGCTCAACGTTTTGTGGTCCCAGAGACAGGACGTTCACTACTGCCTCGCCATCCCCCTCACCTTCTCCTCCTTTTCTTGCTCGTTCCTGCTGCTTGTCCTTCTTCTGCTGCTCCCTCCTGCCGCTCCTCTTGTTGCTGCTGCTCCTTACACATGTCTCGTCCTGCTGCGCGTCATGCCGCTTCCTTCACCCTCCTCGTTTTTCTTCTTTGCGCACCCTCCTGGACCCCTGCAGGAGGAGGATGAGTAGGAAAAGGGAGGGGATGATGATAATGATGATGATGATGATATCGATGGTGACGATGATGACGATGTTGATGATGAGGATGACGATGCTGATGCTGATGATGTTTATGATGATGCTGATGCTGATGCTGATGCTGCTGATGATGATGCTGCTTCTTATGGTGATGGTGTTGATGATAATGATGGTAGCGATGATGATGATGATGATGATGATGATGATGATGATGATGATGATCATGATGATGATGATGATCATGATGATGATCATGATGATGATGATGATGATGATGACGACGACGACGACGACGATGATGATGATGATGATGATGATGATGCTGATGATGATGATGATGATGATGATGATGATGATGATGATGATCATTATCATGATCATGATAATGATAATGATAATGATGATGATGATGATGATGATTATGAGTGTAATGATGATGATGATGATGATGAGGAGGAGGAGGAGGAGGAGGAGGAGGAGGAGGAAGGGAGGAGCAGGAGCAGGAGCAGGAGGAACAGCAGGAACAGAAGCAGGAAGAGGAGGTGGATGAGGAGGAAAAGGAGGCGGAACAAAAAGAGGAGCAGCAGGAGGAAGAGGAGATGGAGGAAGAGGAGGAGTTGGCCCTCCTGCTGCTGCCTCCAGTGTGGGGGTTCGCCCAGAGTGGGGGGTTAGCCTCCTGTAGGTTGCGAAAGCGAATCCAGCTCGAGGCAGGGGGCCGTTTAGAGAGATCTTGTCGTTGCTCCCTATTGGTACACACCCCCTTCCCACCCGACCGGCAGCCAACCCAAACCCATGAGGACACCCGTGCGGGGCCACTCCGCACCATCCTTGCCATATCGGGGGCGTGCGCGGGCGCCCCGCGATCACTTTGCATTGGTTCTTGACAGCCGCGGCGGGGGTACCAGCATGTTGCTTGGCGCGCGCAGGCCAACACCCCTCCCAACATCCATACGCAAAAAGTATGCTCAGTGCACAATGCACCAACATTTGCCTCATGCGCGGACGCCCCGCGATCACTTTGCATAGGTTTTTGAAAGGGGCGGCGGGGGGGGGGGCAGCATATCGCCTGCGGTGCCAACCCCGCAACCATCCTTCCAAGGAAACACATCAAAGCGCACTTTGCACCACCACCTGAATCATGCGCGGACGTCCCGCGCTGACATTGCATCGGCTTTTGACTTGGATGGCGGGGTGCCGGTATATTGCCTGTTGTGTGCAGGCCCGCCATTCCTGTCAAAAGCAACGCAACAGACATATTCATTTTGTCAGGAACGGCCGCGGGGGTTGGGGCGGCCCATTGCCTGATGTACGCAGGTCCGCCATCCCTGTCAAAACATTTTTGTCCATCAGCGGCGAGACGGCGAACTCCGCTCCAGCGAGAAGCTAGAAAAAGGGTTCTATCTATCGAATTGGCCGGCGGGCAAAGAGAGAAAGGGGGGACGGCCGAGAGGAAGAAGGGACGTTCAGACGCCCGAAGAATTCGACGATGAGCAGCCATGGGTGGGGGCAGCAGCAGGCAGGCGCGCAGGGCCAGAGCGCGGTGGGCGGCCGTGGGGAACCACGGTGGCAAGGGTGGCGAGGAGTGGCAGGCAGCCAGGGGCTGGGGGAGCACAGGGAACACATGCAAAGAGATCGTGGGAGCACACCCGCACAGCAATCCCGCCGTCGCCTTGCATTGACTTTAAGCCAGGGGCGGTGGGCGGGTCGACATAGTTAGGTCCCGATGTGGTGCACTCGGTTTTAAGTCGGGCTTGTCCCTCTACAGGAGGAGTATTCAAAATAGCATCAAATCGGGGGACGATGTTTTGAGTATCTTTGGAGTCTGTAATTATGTTTCGTCAACGATCCGCCCGTAGGGGGACACGCACGACCGAAGGGTCGACACATTTCCCGATGTGGTGCACTTACCATCCTGTGGCGCAGCTGGCATGTGCAGCGCACCTCGCGGGCTTCGGACACGTGGCTGGCGCCCGTCTTGTTTCCCGATGGTTGTCGATGGCGGCTCTTGTCCATGCTGATACTCGGGTGCTACTTGTGTGCTGGGAAGGCGGGCGGGAATGAATGAGACGGCTTGTGGGTAGCTTGCTTCTGACCCCACCTCCGCCCGTACCCCACCTTTGTGCCCTCCCGCAGCTGTTTGCATGGTCTGCACTAGTTTCCATAGGTCTCGCGCGCACGTCTCAGCACACATTACCGTGTCTCGAGGCTATGGCCTCACCCACCCTTGGTGGGCTCTGGAAACGGTTCGACCATTTTGTCACCGTTCTCGAAGAAAACTGTTCTTCAACATCGAAGCAGCAAAACGCGGCGACCGGAAACGGCAAACAAAACGGTTCCGTGATTGGAACTGGAGCCGTGACCGCCAACAAAACGGCGACAGAACCGGCAGCAAAAACAGCAACGAAATTGGCAACAAAATCTGGAAAACGGGACGGGCATGATATCGGCCTTGTCGCTTCCGGGGCCCACTCAGCACCCTCTTGGTGTCTCACACGGCCCGGACACTTGTTCGCCCTGGTGGTTCTTTCGTTCGGTTGTTCCCCCGCAGCCGTTTTGGTTCACGGAGGGCGCGCGCGCGGCCGCGCTCCAGCGTCGCGGAGAGCGTTAAGTCGGGTGTGTTTTTCTACAAGAGGAATAACATTCAAAAACAGTCCAACAATTATTTGGGGGCTATTTTTTGCTTATTTTTGGAATATGTGTTGAATTGTTTGGACAATGTTTCATTTTTCCTCCAGAATCCGCCTGTAGGGGGACAAACCCGACCCAAGGAGAGCGCTGCGTCGTCCCCGCCCCCGACGGGCGGGCAGCCCGATGGCGGGCTCCCCGACCGCGGCGGCGGCGGCTGCGGTGCGGGCCCAGGTGCACGAGCTGGGGTCCCCGACGGGAGCACGCGAGGCGGCCAGGATCTCTCCTCTCCGTCTCTCCCCATTTTCCGTCCTTCTCCTTCAGGAGGAGGAGGAGGAGGAGGAGGAGGAGGAGGAGGAGGAGTTCTCCGTCTGGCCGAGGCCTGAAAAAGTTCGGGGCCCACGCCGTGACGACGCAGGCACGCTGTCGGAGCTCACGTGGGGGGGCCTCCCTCCCACGGAGTTCTCGGAGCTGTCGGGCTCCGCGGAGGAGTTTCCTCCCACGGAGCATCCCTCCCACGGAGCTTCCCTCCCACAGAGCTCTCTCGCAGGGACGCTGTCGGTGCTCTCGAAGCTTTCGGGCTCCGATGTGGGCCCGCTCGTTGGATATTCCTTTGGGGGACCTATGTGGGGGCGAATCTGACAGATCTCTTCGAGGACACTTCGACTCTAGGTCGACTCTGGCTCGACAGTAGCTCGACTCGAGCTCGACTAACAGGCCAGCAGACTTCTGACGCAGCATCGGCGCATGAGTGCAGCGAGCGGCTCCCGGAAGGTCCCCAGAGCGAGCATCTGACCCGCGCGCCGCGATCCCGTTCCCGAGCCGAGTTGGCCCGCTCGTGATCAGGTTCTCGTTTCGGTCCGCCAGCGATTCGCAGCGATCCAGTTCCAGGTCTAAGTCGTGCCCCTCTACAGGAGGACAATTCAAAGATAGGCAACAACTAGTATGTTTTGTTTGTTTACTAATTTTGACCATTATGAAGGATGTTTTACAATGTTTGGTTGTTTGTCTAAAATCCGTCTGTAGGCGCCCGACATAATTCCAGGTGCTGCGATCACGGTTTCCCGATTCGATGCAGGGTTGGCCTGGCAGACCTCCACCCCCGCCAGGGCGCGAGCTCACGGGGCGGCGATCAATGGGAGGGGGGGCAGCGAGGGCTGCCGAAGAGGGGCCCCTGTTCTGGCCCCCGCAGGGGCCCCCGAGGACCCCGAAGAGGGCCTCTGCGGCCCGAGCACGGCACCCTGTCTCCTCCCCCCACTCATCGCCCCCCAGTAACTCGCGCCCAACCAGGTCTCCTCCTCCTCCTCCTCCTCCTCCTCCTCCTCGTCATCATCATCATCATCATCATCATCATCATCATCATCATCATCATCATCATCATCATCATCATCATCATCATCATCATCATCATCATCATCACCCTCTCCCTACCCCTTCCCCGCCCTCATCCTCCCCCTGTTTCTTCTCCACGTGCCCCCCCCGCTTCCCCCTGGTCGGGACAAGCAAGTCGATGTCCCTCGGCGCCGCCACTGCCCGCTCCGGCCAGCTGCACCTCGGCGGCCGCTGGTGCCCGTCCAGGCCTGGCAGCCCCTGCCCACCAGCTCCTGGGCGCCCCTGCCCGCCACGCGTGGGGGCCGCTCTTCCGTCCCGAGCCGCCCTCTGCGGGCTCTGGATGGGGCCCCCAGGCAGCGCCCCGAGAGTCTGGGCCTCCTGGATGGGGTCGGAGAGCGCCGCATCGCCGATGCGTCGGCGATGCTGCTCGATGCGGAGCCCGAGTTTCTCCACGATGTCGCCGATGCATCGGCGATGCATCGGCGATGCGGCGCGGTCCCCCGACCCCCATCTACTCCGACCCCATCCGGAAGGCCTCTAGAGAGGCACCCGAAGACGGCGACCGGAGACCTCTCAGCGCCCATCCTCTGGGGGCCTCCGGAGCTTACGTTGAATCTTCGGGGGGACCTCGGCTGTCCCGCGGATTTGGCGTGGAGTCGACGCGGATTCGGCACGGATTCGACACAGATCCGACGAGCCCGACATGGATTCGACACGGAGACGACACGGAGACGGCCGCGACGGGATGGGCAAGGTCCCCCGAGGATGCAACATACCGCGGCTGCCTCGAGAGGCTCCCCGGCGCAAGCGGGGCCTCGGGAGCCCAAAGAGAGCAAGGCCTCGCGAGTAGACCTTTCGGCCCTCGAGGCCTCCCAAAGGCCTCCCCTCGAGGTTTCTCCTCGGGCGGCACAATAGTTCAGTCGGGCCTGTCCCTCTTAGCGGGGGCGATATTCAAAAATGGTAAAACATAGTCTGGGTACGATTGTTTGATGATCTTTTGACCATTTGGGAGGAGTTCTGGGATATGTAAATTGTTCTTCAAAATCCGCCTGTAGGGGGACAGGCCCGACCTAAGACTATGGGACGAGGATACATCCGTTCCAGACCGTTCCGGAAGGCCGCGGCGCCGAGACATCCTCTGGAACCGCTGGATCTCAGAGATTCTCGATTGATCCTCTCCCGAATTGCTCCTCGTCCTGGCGTCGGCGTCTCTTCGCTGCTCGACGCTCCATCGGAAGATGTCTCCCACCACCACGGCAGGAGATTGGAGCACTTCCAGCGTGCCGAGGGCGCGGTGCAGGTGTGCTCGCTGCTGCTGCAGGAGGCGCTGCAGGCCCAGGACACCAACCTGGCCTTCTTCGCCGCCCTGACCGTCGCCGAGCGCGCCCGCATGCCCTCGGAGCTCAGGGGCAACGCTTGTCGCCATGCGGGAAGTGGTCCCGATGTGCCTTGCTGTTCTTGGGCTCGTAGGGCCCTCCACGGGCCCTGGGACTGTCAGAAAACGGCTCAGGTTACAAAAAACTCGTCTTGAGGCCTCGGGGACCCGGACCCGCTTCTCCGATTGCCAGGGCAGGGGGATAGGCTCAGGCAGGGAAGCATCGACCCCCCAATCACCCATTGATCGCCGATAGGGGCCCGAGAAGCCCCCCCGCCCAGGGACGCGGGGATTCGTTGGCGAGCCATGTCGGCGATGCGTCGTCGATATTCCAGCTCGGTGCTTCCCCCCTGAGCTCGCTCTCCCTCCGCATCCTCCTCCTCCCCTTCCTCCGTCTTCTCCTCCTCCTCCTCCTCCTCCTCCTCCGTCTTCTCCTTCTCCTCCTCCTCCTCCTCCTCCTCCTCCTCCTTCATTCCTTTTTCTTGTACATAACTTCTCCCTGTCGCACCCCGAGGCAAGTTTTTAGGGCGGGCCGGTCGTTTCGCCTGAGACTGCCTCACCATTTATGGCACTGAAGCTTGACCATTTCCACAGTTTCACAGATGGAGGGCGGGTGGTTTTCAAAATGTGGCTCTCGCCTCAGCGCGGCGCACATTCTTTTTTTAACAGTTGCAAGAGTTTCACGCATTAAGGGCGGGCCGTTTTCAAAATGTGGCTCTCGCCTTGGCCCCGCGCGCAATTGTTTAAGCATTTGCAAGGGTTTCACGGATTGCGGGCGGTTCCTTTTCAAAATGTGGCTCTCGCCGCAGCGCCGCGCACATTTTTCCCGAAACAAGTGAAACCAATGCAAGAGTTTCGCGGATTGAGGGCGAGTCATTTTTCAAACTGTGGTCCGCGCTTTAGCGCGGCGCACATTCGTTTTAAATAGTTGCAAGAGTTTCACGGATTGAGGGCGATTCCATTTCGAAATGTGGTTCTCGTTTGAGCGCCGCACATTCGTTTACACAAGTGCCAAGAGTGTCACGGATTCCCGTAATCAAGGTACCAGAAATGGTGTGTTGGAGAGATTCATGACTTCGCGGGTGCAGAAGTTACGTTGATTCTCTGTGTTGAAGTCCTAGGAATGGCTTTCTGGCACGGTTCATGATCGTTAAGACACAACTGTCAGGCTGATCCGTGGCGTTGGAATCCCGAGAACAATGTTTTGGTATGCTTCAGGGTCTTCAAACGGGTGTCTTCCAACGAGGCAGTTCCATCAATGGAACTGAACCGTTGTAGGGGCCTGTGAAGAGGAAGCTTGGAGGGAGGGTTTACTCTAACATCGTTGATGACTCTCGGGTTTACACTGGTTCTCCTCCTCCTCCTCTTCTTCCCCCTCCTCCTCCTCCTCCTCCTCCTCCTCCTCCTCCTCCTCCTCCTCCTCCTCCTCCTCCTCCTCCTCCTCCTCCTCCTCCTCCTCCCCCTGCAGGAGGGGGAGGCGCCAGTCGCTGCCGACCTCTGCAGCACGCTCCGCGCCGGTGCGCTCTGCCAGGCCCGTCTGCCCGGCGTGGTCGTCCGCCAGCTCGCCGCGGCGCACGCGCGGCTGGCGCTGTGCCTCGGCGACGCGTGGCCCGCCGCGATCGACGAGGCCCTGGCCCTGCCCTGCGGGCCCGACGCGTCGCCGCTGACGGAGGTGCTGCGGGCGCTCGCCGAGGAGTCGCTGAACAGGCGCTGCCCGGTGAGCCCGTCGCAGAGGGCGCGCTTCGTCGCCGCGGCGAGGGACCGCACGGCCGACGTGATGCGGGCGCTGGGGCGCGCCGCGGAGGCGCAGCCAGGCGCGAAGCCGCTGCAGGCGGCGGCGGTGTGGCTGCGGGCGCAGCCGCTCTTCGAGGAGAGGCTCCCGATGGTCTCGCACAGCGAGGGCACCCACGCCTCCCTGCGCGCCTTCGCGCCCCTGCTGCCGCTCGCCGCGCGCGCCGCGCGGCTGGAGCTGGACCTTGAGGCCTTCGGGGCGGCGGCCGAGGCCCTGGAGGCGGTGCTGGGCCTGACCACGGACCTCTCCGAGGGCTGCGCGTCCGAGGTGGTCGTGCCTCTGCTCTCCGCCTTCGGAGCCGCCCTGGGCAGGCTGCTGCCGCGCACCAGCGAGGGCACCGCCGCGGAGCTGCGGGACGTCTACACCGTGCTCGCCTCCGCCGTGCGGGCCGCGTGCACCTCCACGGCGGTGATCAGGTGCCCCAGGCTCTGGACGGAGGTCGTGGACATGGCCATGCAGCTGCTGGCCGTCGCGGGGCTCAGCGGCGCCCTGATGCAGCAGGGCGACGGCGGGCTCCTGGACGACCTGCTCCGCACACTGGAGGACACCGTTAAGTCGGGCCTGTCCCTCTACAGGGGGAATCTCCAAAAATAGGTAAAAATCTTTTTTTTTTTTTTTTTTGCAATTTTGGAGCATGTTTGGAGTATTTCTATTTTTCGTCGGAAACCCCCTGTAGGGGGACACGCCCGACGTAAGGACACCGCCACCTCCTTCTTCGAGGCGACGGAGCAGGCCGGGCGAGAGGGCGAGCAGGCGTACCTGGCGCAGGCCGAGGCGGCGATGGCCGCCGCGCTCGGCAAGCTGATCGAGCTCCTGCCGGCCGCACTGGCCCTGCCGCCGACGCTGGAGCGGGTGCCCGAGGATCGAGCAGTGGCGAAGCGTCCAGGATTGCTCCCAGGCCCACGAAAGAACGTTCATAGAACTTCTTGTGTGGTCTGCACGGCATGTTCTTCGAATATTTCTGGCTGAAGCTGTCTTGTTTTCACACATCGGATTTATGCGCTGAGAGCCGTGCTCTTGTTATTTCAACATTTCTGGGTTCTAAGAATATCTATCTCCTGGTAGGCCTATGCCCGAAGATGCGACTTCCTGTTTTTGTTAGGGACGGCGTCCCTGGAAGTCCCGACCCTTTCCCGGGGACCGGTTTTTCGTCCTGAATCTTCCTTTGACGGTCCCCCTGGCGAGGGCCCCCTGGGGCCGAAAGTAACCAACAACCTTCCGTCCTGATTGTTTCACGACGCGATCATGTCTGGGAGACCATCTCGTGGTAGGCCAAAAGGGATGCTGGGACGATCGGCCCCTGCTCCAAAGGAGTGGGAGCTGGCGGACCTCCGGCGGAGGGCCTCCTTGGCCCTCCTCGCCTGGTGCGGGGGCGGCCGCGGCCAGGCCCCCGAGGCCGCCGCCACCGCAGCGCTGCAGCGCCTGGAGCGCCTGCTCTCGCGCCTGCCTCCGCCCGGCCAGGACGTGGGCCCGCGGTGGAGGAGGAGGAGGAGGAGGAGGAGGAGGAGGAGGAGGAGGAGGAGAAGCAGCAGGAACAGGAGCAGGAGCAATAGCAGGAGCAGGAGCAGGAGCAGGAGGACCAGAACAGGGACGAGGAGGAAGGAGGGAGGATGGAGGAAGAAGGAGGGAGGAGGAGGGAGGAGGTGGAGGAGGAGGAGGAGGACCAGTGGAAACCCAAGAGTCATAAACGATGTTGGAGTAAACCCTCCCTCCAAGCTTCCTCTTCACAGGCCCCTGCAACGGTTCATTTCCATTGAGGGAACTGCCTCGTTGGAAGACATCTGTTTGAAGATTTGGAAGCCTGCCAAAACATTGTTCTCGGGATTTCAACGCCACGGATCAACATGATTGTTGCGTCTTGACGATCTGGACTTTTGCCAGAGCGCCGTTTTGGGGACTTTAACACCGCGGAGCAACATAGCTGTTGCACCCGCATAATCCAGAATCCGTCTCAAACATCATGTCTTGTACGCTGATCATGTGAACCCGTGGAACTTTTGCATTTTTTATTTAACAGCGAAGACTGATAGATTTTTAGTGGTCTCAAAAGAGAGCATCATGACTCCCCAGGGGGGTCTGGGCAGATGCCAGACTGGTGCCGCGGAAATCCGGGGACTCCCCATTTGCAGTGCCAGGAGCCACATTTTGATTGCCCGGAGCCAACAGAACACCACTCCCAGGCGACATTTTGAATGCCCGGAGCCAACTGTAGGCCATTTCGTGTTCTTCGTGCTCCCAGAACACTATTCCCAGGCCACATTTTGAATGCCCGGAGCCAGCCGTAGGCCATTTCGTGTTCTTCGTGTTTCCAGAACACCATTCCCAGGCCACATTTTGAATGCCCGGAGCCAACTGTAGACCACTTCGTGTTCCTCGTGTTCCCAGAACACCATTCCTACGCTAATTTTGAATGCCCGGAGCCAACTGTAGGCCTATCGTGTTCTTCGTGTTCCCAGAACACAACTCTCGCACCATATTTTGATTGCCCGCAGCCAACTGTGGGCCACACCGTGATCTTCGTGTTCCCAGAACACAAGTCCTGTGCCATGTTTTGAATGCCCGAGCTGAAGAAGGCTGAGGCCGAGGCAGGCTGAGGCCGAGGCAGGCTGAGGCTGAGGCTGAGGCACGCCCAGGCAGGCTGAGGCTGAGGCTGAGGCAGGCTGAGGCTGAGGCAGGCTGAGGCTGAGGCTGACGCAGGCTGAGGCCGAGGCAGGCTGAGGCTGAGGCTGAGGCAGGCTGAGGCTGAGGCAGGTTGAGGCTGAGGCTGAGGCAGGCTGAGGCTGAGGCTGAGGCCGAGGCAGGCTGAGGCTGAGGCCGAGGCAGGCTGAGGCTGAGGCTGAGGCTGGGGCTGGCTGAGGCTGAGACAGGCTGAGGCTGAGGCTGAGGCAGGCTGAGGCCAAGGCAGGCTGAGGCTGAGGCCGATGCAGGCTGAGGCCGAGGCAGGCTGAGGCTGAGACTGAGGCTGAGGCTGAGGATGAGGCCGAGGCAGGCCGAAGCTGAGACAAGGTGAGGCTGAATGGGGGGGGAAAGGGGGGGGGAGGGGAGGAGGCTGAGGCAGGCTGAGGCTGAGGCCGAGGCAGGCTGAGGCTGAGGCTGAGGCTGAGGCCGAGGCAGGCTGAGGCTGAGGCTGAGGCTGAGGCTGAGGCAGAGGCTGAGGCTGAGGAGGCTGACGCAGGCTGAGGCCGAGGCAGGCTGAGGCTGAGGCTGAGGCAGGCTGAGGCTGAGGCCGAGGCAGGCTGAGGCTGAGGCTGAGGCAAGCCGAGGCAGGCTGAGACTGAGGCTGAAACTGAGGCAGGTTGAGGCATCCGTAGGAATCCATAGGAACCCTTAGGAATCCCTAGGCATCCTTACGAATCCGTAGGCATCCTTAGGAATCCGTAGGCATAGTTAAGCATCCTCAGGAATCCTCAGGAATCCTTAGGATTCCATTGGATCCTAAGGCCGTTGCCACTGCGACTGACATTGCGAATGCGACTGCGACTGCGAGAACAGCAGAATTCTACAACTGGATTATCACCTGAATCTTAACGGGGATGCTTCCAGATATGTTTTTACACATCGCTGTTAGGTTGCTTTACCGGGATGATTTGTAAAAAAGCGAATGTGCGCGGCGGTAAGGCGAGAGCCACATTTTGCAAACCGCCCGCCCTCACTTTGTGAAACGCCAGCAAATGTTTAAAACGAATGCGTGCGGCGCTGGGGCGACAGCCATATTTTGAAAAGCCACCCACCTTCAATCCGTGAAACTCTTGCAATGTTTAAAATCGATGTTGCGCGGCGCTCAGTTGGGAGCCACATTTTCAAAACGACCCGCCCTCAATCCGTGAAGTTCTTGAAATTCCCCACACCCTAAGATGGGGTTATTGTTATTACTTGGACGCCTCCTACTCCTAATGCTTCTTCTCTTTCTCCTCCTCTCTCCTCCTCATACCCAGGCTTACTCATACACAGACTGACTCACACTCAGACTTCCTCATACCCAGACTTACTTACACACAACATAACTCTTACTCAGACCTACTCCTACTCAGACCTACTCCTACTCAGATTTACTCATGGCGAGACTCACGCACGCCCCGTTCGCGGCCGTTTTGTGGGGATGCCTCAAGCGGTTTGCTTGTTTTCTGTACCAACATCCTTGGCTACCAGAGCAGATTGTGAGGATGTCTCAGGCGGGGCGCTGGTTTCAGCTCCCCCTGAGGGGAGCCGCCAGGGGTTATCTCACGGTCCCGTTCGCGGCCTTTTTGTGGGGATGTCTCAAGCGGTTTGCTTGTTTTCTGTCCCAGCATCCTTCGCTTTCGGAGCAGATTTGGAGGATGTCTCGAGCGAGGCGCTCATTTTACCACCCCCCAGGTGGGCCAGCTTTTGAGGATGTCTCGATCGGTGGCCAGACTCGTGGGCACAGATTCCTCAGGATGCCACAGGAGGTTCCAACAGGCTCCAGGAGGCCCCAGGAGACCACGCGAGGTCCAAGGAGGCATCAGGAGGCCACAGAAATACACAAGAGGCCACAGGATGTCCCAAGAGGCTCTAGGAGGCCCCAGGAGGCTCCGGGAGGCTTCAGGAAGCCACAGGAGGCCCCGGGAGGCCAGAGGAACGGAAGGCAACAGGAGGCCCCGAGAGGCCCCAGGAGCAGGAGGCCTCAGAAGGCAACAGGAGTGGCTCCAATCCCATGGGTTTTACGTATGCTCCTATAGATTGGGCCTCACCTGGAGCACGAATCCTTAATGTTATACTTATGTTTCTAAAGATTGTCCTTCTCCTGTGTACTAATGTTCCTATAGGGCCTCTCCTGGGGCACGAGTCCTTGGTGTTTTACGTGTATTCCTATAGATTGCCCCTTCTCCCTGTGGCTCCAATCCGCAATGTGTTATGTACGTCTGTTGCTATAGATTGGGCCTCTCCTGGGGCACGAATCCTCCCTAGGAGGTCCGAGGAGGCCCCAGGAGGCCCCAAGAGGCTCTTGGAGGCTCCAGGAAGCCCCAGTGGGTTTCAGGAGGCCCCAGGAGGCCCCAGGAGGACCCAGGTTCATGCGCAGAGACGCGCTCGTACTACTGAGGCTCATGCATACTCCAATTCATTCTCAGTTAGATTTATGACCAGACCGTCACAACTGAAGCCCGTTTGTATTCGAAAGTTCTTGCGCCTAGACATTCACGGCGGACAGGTCCATGCGAATAGATGCACATATGGGGAGCTCCACGCAGTGAATAATTTTTGATAGGGGTGCGCGCGGTGCTAAGGCGAGAGCCACATTTTGAAAAGCAGCCGCCCTCAATCCGTGAAGCCCTTGCAAATGTTTAAAACGACTGTGCGCGGCGCTAAGGCGAGCGCCACATTTTGAAAACCGCCCGCCCTCAATACGTGAAGCCGTTGCCGTTTTTTAAGCATCATCGTCATAAGTGGTGAGGGAATCTCAGGCGAAACGTCCAGCCCGCCCTAAAACTTGCCTCGGGGTGCGACAGGGAGGAGTTATCGATAAGGAGAAGGAAGGGAGGAGGCGGAGGAGGAGGAGGAGGAGGAGGAGGAGGAGGAGGGAGGGGAGGAGAGGAGGAGAGGAGGAGCAGGAGGAGGAGGGAGAGGAGGAGGAGGAGGAGAAGGGAGGCCAGGACGTTGGCCCGCGGTGGGCGGACGTCGAGGTCGCGCTGTGGTTCGCCACCTCTGCGGCGGAGGCCGTGTACCGCGGCTCGGTGCGGAGCGACGGGGCCGTGGCGGTGCCCGAGCTGCTGGCGCGGCTGCTGGCGGGCCTGCCCTCCCTGCCGCGCTCCGGGGTCTCGCCGGCCAGGCGAGCGAGGGAAGGCAACTCGAAGGAGAATGAGCGCCATAAACATGCACTTTTGGCGCTCCGCGCGGATTTCTTGGATCAGAACTTTTGGCCCCCCCCCAGCGGCGCCGCCCCTGGCGCGCTCCGCGCGCCAGGGAGGGGGGTCCAGCGCAGATCCAAGAACTCCGCGCGGACCGTCGAAAGTCTTGTTCATGTGGTTGTTTCTTCTTTGTGAGCGAGGGAAGGTAACGGGGTCGTGTGCGTGGACATTCGCCTGTCAGCGGCCTCTCGTCACGCGGTGTGCCACGCTGGCGGCTCGCGCAGCAGCGTAAGCCGCAGCATGCGGTCGCTAGATATGTTCTCTTGCGTACGACCCGTTTCTCTTCGTCGCTCAGGTGGGTCCTGATCCTCGCGTCGGCCTCTGATTTCGTCCGCGCCGCGGACCCGTGGCTGACGCCAGAGCGGATGCCGCTGAGCTCGGAGGTGGGCCAGAAGCTGCTGGCCTTCCTCTTCGACGCCGCCAGCGGCGCCGAGTCCCCCGCCGCTGCATCGGAGGCTCTCTGTGTCGCGATCACCAACCTCTCGCCCGCCCTCGCCGCGACGCCAGCGATCGGCGAGGCGCTGCTGCACAGAGTGGTCGCTCTCATCCTCGCGCCAGAGCTGCCGCTCCGGCGCAGGGAGCGCCTCGTGCAGTGCGCCCTGGGCCCCCTGCTCACCCTGCTGGAGCCCGCCCGGCTCGATGCCGTCTTCCAGGAGCTGCTGGCCGCCATGCGCGCCGCCGCGGCACCTCCCAGGCCCATGGGGCCGCAGAACATGGAGGACAGGGAACTGCATGTAATAGCCTCCTATTCTGGCTGGCCGCTTGGTTCTGTAGGTGCGAGGAATCGGTTAAGATCCTCCAAACATTCTTTCGCCCACATTTTACTGGGCCCCGAAGAGATCCTCCTAACATCGACTCTTTTTTAGGGGGGGGCTCGTGGCAGCCATGTAGCCGCGCGCGCAGAGTTGCTGTCCCGACCTTTCGTTGCGCCATTCCGTGCGGTGCTGGGCCGTTGCAGAGGAGGGGAGGAGGAGGAGGAGGAGGAGGAGGAGGGAGGAGGGAGGAGAGGAGGAGGAGGAGGAGGGAGGAGGAGGAGGAGGAGGGAGGAAGGGAGGGAGGAGGAGGAGGAGGAGGAGGAGAGGAGGAGTCAGAGAGAGAGGAAGAGGAGGGAGAGGAGGGAGGGAGGAGGGAGGAGGAGTGCCTAGAGAGAGGAGGGAGGAGGAGGAAGGAGGAGGAGGAGGAGGAGGAAAGGATTCTGGAGAGGAGGATTCTTGAGGAGGAGGAGGAAGGAGGAGGAGGATGAGGAGGAGGAGGAGGAGGAGGAGGAGGAGGAGGAGGAGGAGGGAGGGGAGGGAGGGAGGAGGTAGGGAGGAGGAAGGAGGGAGGAGGAAGGAGGTGGAGGGAGGAGGGAGGAGGGAGGCTTTTTTTTGACTGCACTGAGCTCGTTGCAAGTAGCTTGAGCGCTGAGACCAACAGGACTGGCACAGGCTGCACACGAGAAACCCGAAAACATGGACGCTGAGCTGCTTCCGCTCTCGTCCCGAAAACTGTCGGGAGAGAGGTATTGGCGCTGCTGGAGGGGAAGAGAGGAATCTTATAAGAGAGAGGAGGAGTTTGCAGCTCCGTGCGAAGAGAGACATCAGCGGAGCCCTGCTTCGTTGCCCATAGCAGGGCAGCCCTCGAGGCAAAGAGCAGTACAAGGCTGGAAAAAGGAGAAACCTGCCTAGGTGTGCCGTCCAGGTTGCGGTCGGCTGAAGGAGAGGGAAGAGCTGGAAGGAGGGCCAAATTGGCCAGGCCGCCGTGCGGCTGTCCAAACCTCCAGGGGAGGAGTGCTGGACTGGAGAAGGGCGGGGGTTCCCCGTGAGGCCGCGCTGCGGTGAAAAAGCCAGGGCCTGTGTGCTTGCGTGCCGTGCGCGAGTGCCGCGCCCTCCCTTGTGGGCTCGACCCCGTCTTTCAGGAGGGCACGGCAGGCCCCTCCCATGTGGGCTCGACCCCGTCTTTCAGGAGAGGCCTGGGGCTACACAAGTAAGCAGTGGAAGGTGTGCCACGAGGCCGCGCTGGGTAGGAAGAAGCCAGGGCTGCTTGCTGGCCTTCAAAACGCCAGCGCCGAGCCCTCCGATGTGGGCTCGACCCCGTCTTTCAGGAGGGCCCGGGCGACCCCTCCCATGAGGGCTCGACCCCGTCTTTCAGGAGGGGCCTGGTGCTGTACAGAGTAGCTGTTCGCAAGTGCCAGAGATTGCTGCCTTGCCGGCCCGCGAAAAAGGTCCGAAGCCAGTTGGCGCTGGCACCACACCCTCCCATGTGGGCTCGACCCCGTCTTTCAGGAGGGCGTGGCCGACCCCTCCCATGTGGGCTCCACCCCGTCTTTCAGGAGAGGCCGAGCTGTGCAAAGTAGCTGTGCGCGAAGGCCAGAGAGGGCAGCCAGACCTGCCGCAAAAATCCCCCTCCGTGCTCTGGCTTTACCTGCCAGACCGGCTCGTGCTCCGGCAGCCAGACCTGCCGCAAAAACTGCCATACCTGCCCATCCCCCTCCGTGCTCTGGCTTTCCGCCTTCGGCGGGAAAAACTGGCTGAGCTCTGGAGGATGGCTGGTGACTCGAGCCGCCTATGGCGGAGACTGGTGCGCGGCAGATGCGGCAACGCGCCGCGCTGCGGCCGCTGCATCCAAGGCGGCACGTGCTGGGGTACAGGTGAAAAAGGGCCTAGAGTCGTCGTGGCGTGGCGGACTCTGCACAGTGGGGCTCGGCAGCTGCGCCCCTGGCACTGGGTCTGCCTGTGACTGCTGCGGGGCCGCGAACAGATTACTCGAGGCTGACAGCACCGCGCGGCAGGCCCTCGCCTCCGCTGCTGTGATCTCCGGTGGCGTACATGATGGCTGCACTGGCGACGGCACTGACACTGGCACTGCTTCTGGCTGGCGTGAGGGTACTGGCACCGGCCCTGTCGGCCGTGAAGGTGCTGGCGGCGCTGGCGCTGCAGGGCGTACTGGGAGTGGTACTGGCCTTGACGGCCGTGAAGGTACAGAGACTTGCCGAAAAAATGGTGGCGGGCATAAGCCCTGCGCGAGGCCTAGAGCAGTGGCAGGGCCGGGGCCTGGATCAGCCTCCGCCCGCGTCCTAGGCGGAAAGCCTGGGATTGGGGTGCCGCGGGGAAGAAAAGGAGGCCGTGCAGAGGGGGGGGCAGAGGGGGAGGTGAACTCGCCCTCCGGGACCACCACGTCGTCGCCCGCTGCCGCCAGCCGCTGACCGAGAACCCCGTGGTCTGGAAAACCCGCCTCGGCAGCCATGGCCGCTGGTCCCGCTGCCAGCGGAGACGAGGGGACTGCAGCCGCCGCGTCGCCTCCATGGGCACCGGGAGCGACAGCATCCGGAGAGGGAGAGGCCGCTGCGCCCCGCTGCGCAGAGGGCGTTGGCGCCGCCGCCAGCGCCGAGGCCACCGCCTGGGCCAGCTGCGATGGCTGGCGGCCACGATGGCTGGTGAGGGCTGCGAAGGCGCGCGGAAGGTGTTCTGACGCGCGCGCCTCGGCCCTCATGTACTGCGCGCGACGCGCGGCAGCCTTCCGCGGCGGCCTGCGGCGGCTTGCGGTGGCCGCGGGAGGCGCCTCCATAGCGCGGCCGAGGGGACGGGAGCAGGGGAGAGCGGGGAGGCGGCGCGGGGAAGCGCCGATGGCGCTGGCTGGCGCAGAGCGGCGGCTCGTGCCAGCTGGCGCTGGAGGAGGGAGGAGGGAGGAGGGAGGAGACGGAAAGGGGAGAAGGGAGGGAGGAAGGAGGGGGGAGGGAGGAGAGAGGAGGGAGGAGGAGGTGAGGGAGGAGCGAGGATTCGGGAGGAGGAGCAGGAGGAGGGAGGAGGAGGAGGAGGGAGGAGGAGGAGGAGGAGGAGGAGGAGGAGGAGGAGGAGGGAGGAGGAGGAAGCGGAGGGAGGAGGAGGAGGAGGAGGAGGAGGACCAGTGCAAACCCGAGAGCCATTAACGACGTCGGAATTAACCCTCCCTCCAAGTTCCCTTTTCACTGGCCCCTACAACGATTCATTTCCATTGAGGGGACTGCCTCGTTGGAGGACAACTGTTTGAAGATCTGGAAGCATGCCAAAACAAGGTTCTCGGGATTTCGACGCCATGGATCAACCTGACTGCTGCGTCTTGGCGATCCAGAATCGTGTCATAACACCGCGAATTAACACAATTGATGCACCCGCATAATCCTGAATCCTTCAACACATCAGTTCTGGTACGCTGAACACGGGAAGCCGTTAAACTCTTGCACATTTTGAAAACGCATGTGCGCGGCGCTGAGGCGAGAGCCACATGTTGAAATGGAACCGCCCTCAATCCGTGACACTCTTGCAATGTTTAAAATCGAATGTGCACCGCGCGAAGGCGAGAACCACAGTTTGAACACGAACCCCTGGAACTCTTGCAACTGTTTACAACGAATGTGCGCGGCACTAAGGCGAGAGCCACATTTTGAAAACGACCCGCCTTCAATCCGTCAAACTCTTGCAAGGGTTCAAAAAAGAACGCGCGCGGCGCAAAGGCGAGAACTACATTTTGAAAACGACCCGCTCTCAATCCGTGAAATTCTTGCGTTTGTTTAACCGAATGCGCGCGGCGCAACGGCGCAAAGGCGAGAGCCACATTTTGAAAACCACCCGCCCTCCATTTGTGAAGCTGTCAACACGTCGTAAGCTTCAGAGTCCGGGCCCGCCCTAAAACATGTTCCAGGGTGCGACAAGAGGAGGAAGGGGAGGAGGGGGAGGAGGGGGAGGAGGGGGAGGAGGAGGAGGAGGAGGAGGAGGAGGAGGAGGAGAGGAGAGGAGGAGCGGAGGGAGGAGAAGGAGAGGAGAAGGAGAAGGAGGCGGAGGAGGAGGAGGAGGAGGAGGGTGGAAGAGAGGGAGGGGAGGGGGCGGAGGAGAAGGAGGAGGAGGAGGAGGAGGCGGAGGAGGAGGAGGAGGAGGAGGAGGAGGAGGAGCAGTGGGAGGAGGAGGAGCCGTAGCCATTTGGGCTCAGGCTGTGCTATCACTCTCAACGGCAAGCGGTAGTCAGATATCGTACCCCTTCGGCCTCGGAGCCCGCTCGGCGCGCGCTGGGCCTGGCTCCTCCGCCTCGCGCATGGGTCGCGGAGGCGGAATCCAAGTCCGCCGTAGCATGACCGTGGCGCACGCACGGACGGTGGAGGAAGCGGCAGAGCTCATCGTGATGATCGGGCTCAAGGCCGCCACTGGCCCACCAGCGCTCGACGTCCTCGACAGTTTCGAGCAGGCCCTCCACACGGCGGGTCGCACCCTCGGCCTAGGCCGAAAGGCGACTTCGGAGGAGGTCCGTCGCGCCGTCCACTCCTCCGAGCCCGACCTTGCGAGGAGATGGCAGGTGCGGAGAGCGGGTCGGCGCCTGATCGCGCATCCCGACAAGCAGCTCTGCATGCCGTGGCTCACGGTGATGGGCGGGGTCGCGGTGACCCTGAAAGTGCTCACGTTGATGGTCTCGCGCGGGAGTCGGACACCAGCACCGACGGCAAGACCATTGAAGGCAAGGACACGGTGGACGTGGAGCAACAGTCTGGCCTCGCGCCCGCCCAAACCCTCCCCAAGAACATCGAATGGACTTCTGAGTCGGAGGCCAACCAAGGATTGGAACCGCCGAAGTTCCCAAACCCCATCGGCAAGACTTTTGCGATGGACGGCACGGACTATTTCGACATTAGCTCAGACAAGGACGACATCGGCGAGAAGGCACTTCACGACATCAAGAACATTCTCCTAACGCGCAGGGCGGATGTGCTTCGCGTCGTGGATCGGCTGCCAGCTGCCGCCTCGCCTTCTCTCAAGGATGTCAACCCCATCACAAGGGACAGGGGACACAAGACCATTGGCACGATGACAGACATCGACGAGACAATGGAGAGTGCTTCTTTGCAGGAACCCCTTGAAAGCAGCATGGGTAGCGCAGGTTTACGGGGACCTGGGCCCGCGAGCGTGGCTAGTACGGTCATCGGTGCTTCGGGCTGCTACGACGCAGGCTTCTCCGAGACCGCCTCCGTGGACCACGGCACACCCGCGCGCAGTCAGCGTGTTTCGATTGGGACGTCAGGGGGGCAATGGCCTGTCTCCCATGGATGCTCTTGCTGACGACATCGTGGCGAAAAGGGCGCCCGCGGTGAGCCGAGCCGCCACGATCAGTAAGGTAGTCGCTACGGTGGTTGCCAGTTTTCTCGAACAGTGTGACCCCATCCACAGGACTGACCTTTCTTTTCAGGAGGCGCTGGCAGAAGCTGTCTCCAGGCGCCTCCTGTCAGGCTCAGGCCGCCGCTTTCCTGAACAGCGAGTCTGGGGCCGGTGCGTGGCGTGGCGTGGGTGCATATTCGGGACCTAGCTGTTCAGGGTCTCTGCACTCCTTCCCCCCGTCCTCCTCCTCCACAGCCAGCAGAGGGGACGGCCAGGCGAGGCCTGGGCCCTGCCTTCTAAAGGGCGTGGAAGGGTGGGGGACGGTGCCGAGGGGCACTCGTTCTCGCCCACCGCCCGTGTGCCCTGGCTGCCCGAGACGCCCTCGGGGCGCCCCAACTTGCGCAGGCAGCAGGCACCGCAATCAGTCTGACCTTCTCAGTAGCAGGAATTGCTTGTAATTTTGAGTGGGTTCGAGGAGTAATGGGGGAGGCCAGCTTT